CTCTTTAAAGCGTTAAAGAGCAAAAATATCAGTTTGAGAACTAAGATGCACCTGACCCAAACCATTGTATTTTCAATAACCTCATATGCATGTGGAACTTGAAAATGAATATAGAATACCATAGAAGAATTGGCGCATTAAGAATTAGAAAGAAAAAAAAAAAAAAAGAATTGATGCATTTGATTGGCTACCTAAAATGAGAGGGAGCTAAAGGCACAAAGTGACAGGCTTTCAAGGTTTCAAGGGGGAGTTTAGTCTAAAAGTTTGTGGGGGAAGAAAGAGTCCCCACAGAATAGTTTTTATCTTATCTAGATGAGTCTGGTTAAAAGAGATGGGGATAAGATTCTTATGATTCAATAGTGAGTAATTGTTATCATGACTAATTACAATTGTCACAATTGTAACAAAAATGGGGGAGTGGTTAATCTTACAGTCCAGAAACAAAGTCCCCTAGGACCATCACAGGAGAATGCAAGACCTTATCCAGAGAAGCGGTGACACCAGAGATAGAGGCAGAGATGGGGACATGGAGAGAGGGAGCAGCCGATTCATGGGAAGAGAAGGGACTAAGAGATGGCTGCCAGGAGGCAGATTTGCAGAATGTGCCCATCGGCAGTTTAAATTATTACATATACCTGAGTGTTTAAAAAAAAATAAAAAAGCTGAAGTCAATAGAGAGAAACACTATTAACTGATGGTACATGGAGGGGATTATAATCATTGTAATGAAACAAGGTGTATGATTTGTTGACTGTAAAACTGATGATCTGCCCTGTAAACTTTCACTCAATCCACAATTAAAAAAAAAAACCTTAAATAAATAAATAAATGATGCATTTGAGTTAAGGTGTTGGAGGAGACTATTTAAATTATCATGGACCTCAAAGAGAACAAACAGATCTGTGTTGGAAGAAGTACAGCCAGAATGCTCCTTGGAAGCTAGGATGGCCAGATTTTATCTTTCATAATTCAGACTTTCATACTTCAGAGGGGACCAGTCCCTGGAGAAGGACATCATGCTTGGTAAATGGAGGGTCAGTAAAAAGAGGAAGATCCCAAAGAAACGGATTGGCACAGTGGCAGCAGCAATGGACTTAAGTGTAGCAACGATTGTGAAGTTGGCACAGGACCAAGCAGTGTTTCATTCTGTAGGGTCACTATGAGTTGGTAGTGACTCGACGGCACCTAACAACAACAACGATAATAACATTTTCCATTATCACAAGTTTCAATTCAGTAAAATTCAACTTTAACACACAAATGGCCCCCAAGTGAAAAGTGGTTTCAGGGAAGTTGAATTATGTACTTAATGCTAGTAGCAGTTAAGAGGAGAGCAGGAAGCTTGTGTCTGGAAGTTGGGAGCTCATTAACTCACTTCTTAAATTGAACATCCTTCTAGCACAAACTTTAATATAGAAACCTAATGGTTGAATATTAATGGAGAGCAACGGCTGCTAATTTTAGAAACCATTAGGTTGCTATTTTTAAACTCGTAAGTAATAGAATAGCAACCTGATGGTTTCTAAAATTAGCAGTCCCTGCTCTCCATAAATGTTTTTTAACTTAAGCCTGCCAGATTATAACTCATAACTATCCTATAGGACAGAGTCGAACTGCTCCACAGCATTTCCAAGAGTGTAAATCTTTCTCCTGAGGAGCAGCTGGTGACTTCGAATCGCCCACCTATTGGTTCACAGCAGTGCACTTTAACCATTGTGCCACCAGAACTTCTCTATAAATATTTAGATCTCCAATAAACTCTGGTCCACTTTCCTAGACTAATGGGGTCAAGCAGAGACTTAGTTTTTTTGTGGGGGGTTTTTTGTTTTGTTTTGTTTTTGTCACATTCTTTAGGATCAAATGCATTTAATAATTGACTTTGACAGGCAAGAGCTGGGAGAAGCCCTGAGACCCTCTGGACTGGGAGAGGCTGTGTAGCTGTCAGTGATCTCAAGACCAGTCTTAGGGTGAGTACAGAGGCCATTCTGAGAATCCCACACACTCTGGGTTCCCTTCCTAGTTTGTTTGGGAATAAAAGCCTGGTGTTCCAGGAAACCTCAATCCCTGGCAAACCAGAGTGGCTACCTAAACCATTGTAAAACCATTAAGACCACTCTTTTGAGGTTTCTTTGCAGAAGGAGATTTAACTCCCCAAAATATCTTCATCACACCACGCTTAAGCCCTCATGCTCTACTACCCACCCATCTGTCATTTGCCTGCGATGGCTTGTCTATTGCTGTGATGCTGGAAGCTATGCCACCAGTATTTGAAATGTCACCAGGGTCACCCATGGTGGACAGGTTTCAGCAGAGCTTCCAGACTAAGAGAGACTAGCAAGAAAGACCTGGCCATCTACTCCTGAAAATCAGCCACTGACAACCCTATAGGTCACAAAAGAATATTGTACTATATGGGAGGGCTTCAGAAAGTCCAGGGGAACATTTCATTATCTTTGCATTAACTTTTTTAAGCCCCCTCATATATTTCTGGAAGATGAGTCCCCTTGATTGGAAGGCACTCAAATTACACGGTGGCTGCAGCAATGGACTTGGACATACCAACAGTCGTGTTGGCACAGTGCCCAGACAGCATTGTTTGTGGGGTCACCATGAGTCACAGCCAACTCAATAGCCACTAAAGCAACAAGCCTTCCCACTAACATCAGTCTTATCTAGGTGAGGAAAATACTAGGCGGGTCAGACAGACTTTACATCCCTGCACCCAATTTCCCTATTTGTAAAATGGATGGTAGTAATATCTGCTTCATTGGGCTGTTGTGGGAATAAATTAGGTCATATATGAGAGTATTTGGGAAGTGGTGGCTCCATAGGATAAGCACTGGACTGCAAACCACAAGGTCATCGGTTTGAGCCCACCAGCCACTCCTTGGAGAAAGGTGAGGTTTTTAGCTACCTCAAAGATTTTAAAACCTGGGAAATCCTACACAGCAGGCTTGGGGAAGCTTTTTTCTGTCAAGGGCCATTTATGTTGCTATGCAAAAGGCTCCTAGATTTATTGAATTTCAAATCCAGCCTGCAGCTGCCGTGGCAGGGCCAGACCACATGATTTGTCAGTTATACAGCCTGTGGGCCGGATGTTCCCCATCCGTGCTGTATATGTTTCTGAGAAGTAACTACTGGTAGGTTTGAACCGCTGACATTGCAGATAGCAGTCCAGTACTTATCCCACAGCCCCACACCAGGACTCCACTATATACTCAGACAAACATTTGACTAACTGACATTCGATACTAACTATACCTAACTGTTCTGATTTATGCACAAATTCAATTAACTTTAAGAGAAATTTAGGAAGAGAACTCGTTTGTAATCTGTGGACTGCTTGGATTTCTTTTCTCCCTCTTTCTTCTCCTTCATTTGCTCTCTACCTTCCCTTTTCTTCTCTTCCTCTTTTCCTCCTTCCCTCTCTTCCTTCTTCCTCATTTCCTTCCAATATGTGCCTGGACCCATAGGAGCTAGAGATCTTTGCCCCAAAGAAGTAGTCTGGATTTTGCTATGGTTATCATGTTTGGTAAGGTGGCGGCAGGTCAGAGAAAGAGAGGAAGACCCCCAGTGAGATGGATTGGCAAAGTGGCAGCATCAGTGGGCTCAGGCGTGACAACAATTGTGAGGTTGGTCCAGGACTGGGCAGTGTTTCGTTCTGTTGTGCATAGGGTCGCTATGAGTCGGTACCAACTCGATGGCACCTACCAAACAACAGGATTTTTTAAAACCTTCTGAAATGGTTCCACAACCCTGTATTCCTAAAAGCCAGCTATCCGCCATTGTTTTGTAATAAAATCCACCCCTCTGATGTCTTCATTAAGTGCAACCAGCAGGCTTGGGGAAGCAGAGCAGAGAGGGCTGAGTAAGGGTGCCTTGCTGGGAACTGAAGAAGCTGGTTTGTGGTCCTGGTCACAGCCCTTAAGGAGCTGGTGACCTTGGGAAGTCTTGCTCTGTGGCATCAGTAAGCAATGTCTAAAGTTACATGAAGCTCGGGAGCTCTGGAGCTCTGAAGCTCTGACAGATTCTGACCCATCTATTTAAGTCCTCTCCTACCTGATTCAGTGGTAGAATTGTCTCCTTCCATGCAGGAACCCTGGGTTCGATTCCCAGCTAATGCATTTCATGCACAACCACTACCTGTCTGTCATTGGAGGCTTGTGTGATACTATGATGCTAAACAAACCTCAACAGAGCTTCCAGACTACGACAGACTAGGAAAAAAGGCCTGGTGATTACTTCTTAATATCGGTCACTGAAAATCCTATGGATCACAGTGGTCATAGCACAACTGATCATGGGGACGACACAGGGCTGGTCAGCTGTTGATGCCTTTGTACCTGGGGTCACCATGAATAGGGGGTGCCCCCACTCAACAGTAGCTGATATCAACAACATGGGCATGTAGGTAAGTCACTCACTTTCAGAACACATTTCATCTTAAAAAAATGTTTTCTAAGTCATAACTAGCACACATCTTAGCACTTGTGTGTCCACTTAGGCATGAATAATATTTGTTGATTTATCAACCAAGTGATTACTGACCAAACAAAACAAAACAAGATAAATTAAGCAGATGTGTTTGAGGTTAGATATAAGGTAGAACTTCCTATGGCTAAGTGAACTGAGAACCATCAGAAGTAGAGGCTGTAAAGCATCCTTTACTGGGGTCCTGGACAAGAGCAGACAGGCAGGATTTCCACTATCATTCCTCTCATTGTGGTGGTTCTATAGGAAAGATCTTAGCAGCCAGAGAGATCAACTTCTTCTCTCACCCAATGGATTTTCAAAAATCGTTTAAAAAAAAAAAAAAAAAATGTTAATCATCATACTAACTGCCTATGGAAAACTCAGTCTGAGTGGCAGAAATAAATGCATCGAGATAATATTTAACCTATTTCCTTTTTCTCCCGCCTCTCCTGGCTTTATTAGGACTCCTGCCGGCGCCTGAGAAACACCCATAGCCACAGCGCCCTGGGGACCGTCCAGCAGAGACTATGGCCAGCACGGCCGTCCAGCTCCTGGGCTTCCTGCTCAGCTTCTTGGGCTTGGTGGGCACACTGATCACCACCATCCTACCGCACTGGCGCAGGACGGCACACGTGGGCACCAATATCCTGACAGCCGTGTCCTACCTGAAGGGGCTGTGGATGGAGTGTGTGTGGCACAGCACGGGCATCTACCAGTGCCAGATCTACCGGTCCCTGTTGGCACTGCCCCAAGACCTGCAGGCCGCCAGGGCCCTCATGGTCATCTCCTGCCTGCTCTCGCTCATGGCCTGCGCATGCGCCATCATTGGCATGAAGTGCACACAGTGTGCCAAGGGCACGCCTGCCAAGACCACCTTCGCCATCCTCGGGGGCGCCCTTTTCATCCTGGCCGGCCTCCTGTGCATGGTGGCCGTTTCCTGGACCACCAATGACGTGGTGGAGAACTTCTACAACCCGCTGCTGCCCAGCAGCATGAAGTTCGAGATCGGGCAGGCCCTGTACCTTGGCTTCATCTCCTCTTCCCTCTCGATCATCGGTGGCACGCTGCTCTGTCTGTCCTGCCAGGACGAGACCCCCTACAGGCCCTACCAGGCACAGCCCAGGGCCACCACGACTGCCACTGCAGCCGCTGCACCCGCATACCGGCCACCAGCCTCCTACAAGGATAATCGGGCCCCCTCTGTGACCTCCGCCTCATATAGTGGATACAGGCTGAACGACTATGTGTGAGTCCTCAATGGGCTGTGGGGAGGCAGGACTCAGGACTGTTAATCAATGTTCATGAAGTGTTGTAGCACAAAGTTTACTTCTGAAAAGGAAATAATGTGAACATGATGAAGTACTCTTAGAAAATAGGGAAGAAGGGTAAGATAAACCAAAGACAAAGAAACAAACCGAAAAACAACTTTTCTGGTTTTGTATTTATTGTATGTATTTATGTGGGTGATTTAATAACATTAATAAAAAGCTACTTGGGGCTTGGCTCAGTGGGATTTGTTTGCAATGCAGGAATAAACCTTTATATCGTGACTGTTTATGGGTAGTGTTAATTTCTGTGTCCAGGCTATCACAATCACAAGGATCACAGTAAAAGTCCTGTCTGGGCTCAGGGGTAGAGCTGGCCAGAAGGCATTGACCACAAGCACTGTGAAGTGAGCTCTGAGTGAACTCCAGGTGTGCCCAGCCCAATGCATGATGGGAAAATCTGAGCAGGGACAGGACTGAGATGTCTGAGCAACACCCACCAAAAACAGTCTCCCTATCTGGCTTAAACTCAGAGGCAGGAGGGCAAGGGATTTTTGGAACAATAAAGGACAATATCATTTTCTGCCAGTGAGCAATCAGCCCCATTGTTAAGGAAATAAAAGTAAGAAGGAAAAAAGGCAAAGCATGCCTGGCTGTCTAGCTTTCTAGGCATTGGCAAGAAGCCCAGGCAAGAGTGCTGCTCACCCCACACACACACACCCCAATGCCCCAGCAGCAACTCACTGGCTTCTTCTCTGCAGTGGCTAGCCCCAGCTTCCCTCTGAGATGGCACTAAAAAGAACCAGAGGTTTTTGAGTGACTGAGTCAGTATCAGCTCATGGCAACTGCTTATATGTCAGAGTAGAACTGTGCACTATAGGGTTTTCAGTGGCTAGTCTTTTGGAAGTAGATTGACAGTTCTTTTTTCCAAGATGGCTCTGAGTTGACTTGAACTTTCAACCTTATAGTTAGCAGCTGAGCCCTTAACCATTTGCACCATACAGGGACTCTTGAGACAAGACTAACAAAGTGTTCCATTAGCAGATACTGGAAAGTATTTCTAGACAGGTCAATAAGAACCACTGCCTTAAGATACCTAGTGATGCTTTCTAACGATGGTTGAAATCACATGGTGACTCCCCACCTCCCATTTCCCTGGAGAATTCTTTCCTGTGGTCACTACTCAATCCTCTGTCCTGTACCTAAAGCTCAGAACATGGAAGGAAATATGACGCTGTGGAAGGACCCACACACAACAGAGCTGTCATGGGAAATCCCTCCAACCTCATTAGAGCCACCAGGACACTCAGACAAGTCATCACCCATCACTACACAAAACAGCTGTCAAGAGAAATCCCTCTAACCTCAATAGAGCCACCAGGGCACTCAGACAGGTCATCACTCATCACTACACAACACAGCTGTCATGGGAAATACCTCCAACCTCAGTAGAGCCACCAGGGCACTCAGACAAGTCATCACCCATCACTACACAACACGGCTGTCATGGGAAATCCCTCCAACCTCAGCAGAGCCACCAGGGCACTCAGACAAGTCATCACCCATCACTACACAACACAGCTGTCATGGGAAATCCTTCCAACCTCAGTAGAACCACCAGAACACTCAGAAAAGCCATCGCCCATCACTACACAACACAGCTGTCATGGGAAATCCCTCCAACCTCAGTAGAGCCACCAGAACACTCAGACAAGCCATCACCCATCACTACACAACACAGCTGTCATGGGAAATCC